CTAAAGTTGTGTCTGCCACAACAGCAACAGCCAACTTATCGCCAGCTGCAGCTTTTGGCCATTTGGCTGAATAATTTGGGGGTGGTACCAAGTGCTGACAACGATGGATTCCGAGAGCAGCCAAAACAAAACTATTTACAAAGTATACAAAATATCTGCATTTCAATTGACGCTCTTTTAAAGCGTTTAACACATTTTTATTAATTTAAAAATATTTTATTTTTTTTTAATGTAAAACCCTTTTTTTTTGTTCGTCGCTTTATTTGAATTAATAATTTAATAGTTAAAATACTTCCTATTTTAGGGAGATATTTTCATTTACAAATTAAGTATAAAAATCGATTACGTTTTTACTGTTGTATTTAAAAATTTGTAGTCATACACTCAGAAAAAAATCGCCCTAAATTCTTGGAAACTTTAAAATGTGGGCAACACCCATTTCACACCGAGTGGCTTAGAGGGGTGGAGCTCGGCTAAAATAAACTGCCCTTAGGATTCCAAGAATTTTTTTCTTCTTCTTCTTAGTTCAGATTGTTTAGGAAAAACGACAGACCCTAAATTTAAGAATATATTTTTTTCTAATTTTTAGAAATATTTTTTCTAAAAGACAAGGCGAGCTGCCTTTGGCTTAAAAAGTATGGCGATTTTCTAAAATTCAGGGCGATTTTTATTCTGAGTGTAGTGATACAAATGTTGTACATTCATTAATAGATTTTAAACTAAAAACTTGACAAGTATTCAAGTAAGATGTGTTTATAAGGTTTCTAAAATATTGTAAGCCATTAACTTAAATACCAATTCTAAAATTCCGACTTAGCTACTAGCTAGAAAAAAGCCATATTCGCATGTCTGTCCGTTCGGCTATTGATAAAATAAAATGGCAAAAGCAGTTTACAACTTTCGACCGTTTACAACTAACAAAGGGTCACAAATCAAGTTGGTCGGAGGGTTGGCTCGTGACTAACCGGAAGTCGCCATGTGCAAGAATTCCAGCAGCCCCACCTCCAAATCTCTCCCCTCTCCCCCTCCATTTTCCATTTCCAAGTTGGGCCGCCTGCAGTGTTGCGATTTAATTAAAGCGCCATTAAGTCAGCAATTAACAACAACAGCAATAGCAACAATGCCAGCCAAAGCAACAGCAACAACAACAAAAACAACATCCAACAAAGGGCAAACAACTTTGACGCCCTGGCTTCGGCTTTAGGTTTTCCTTTTGTTTTTCCCGCTTCCGTTTCCGCTCCTCCCGCTTTCATTATGTTTGCTTTGGCTTTTTTTGCTTTGTTGCGGCTGGCGCATTAAATTCTTTTTGCACTGCTATCGCTTAGAGAATTCATTAGCAATTGCACACAGGGGGACATTCATTGGGCGTCCCTATGAGTTGCTGGCCAGAAGCCATTTTGCATATTGCAGGAAAAACAGAAACACTAAGCACTGGACCCACACCCCCCGGAAAATTGGAAAAGTCGCCAGCCCTTGGTTCCGCCGACATAATTAGCTGGAATATTCCAAGAATTTTTCAATCGCTTAACAAATAAAATATTATTCTTTGGTTTTCCGCTGAAAAGGTTTCCCTAGTATATACAAATGGTTGTTGAACAAACTATTCTTTAATTTAACAATAATCGTGTGTTGTTTAACTTTCCGCTAAAAAGGTTTCCTTAGAATAAACAAATTGTTACTGCCAAACTATTCTCATTGCTCGACGTTTCGCTCCATTTTGTGTTTTTCATTTTAATGAAATAGAATTTAAAACAAATAAACATTACAACTCCACTGAAAGTTGCTTTGAAAATTTGTGAAATAATTATTATTCGCTCAATTTCATGAAATTAAACAAATAACCATGAGAATACCACTGAAAGTTGTTATGGAAATTTAGGAAATAATAATTATTTTAATAAAACCCGAAAGTTTCGGTGTTCTGGCAACGTCAAGCATACTTAAGTAGATGAAACCAAACAAATAAACGCATTTAAAGTAAAGCCAAATTTTATGAAAAGCACTTAAATATGAAAAATTCCTTGAATTCGAAATAATGCGAGGAGTGAGTCTGCCCATTGTGATTGTGTGGATTATTATTTCGCCTTTCCATTGTTTAGCATGGCAACTAAACTCGAATATTGGTCTGCGGAAGGGGTCCAGAGGTTGCGAGAGGTTTCTACGGCACAAAAAACACATTAAAAACATAAAATAAGCCCGACGCTGCTGCTGCTGCCATATTCCAGTTTTTTTTTATTTTCCTAATATTTGACTTTGTTCTTTCGTTCTTTCGACGAGAAAGTTTTATTAGGGGTACGTGTCAGGGTTGCCATGTGTGCGGATGTCGAGGGGATGTTTAGGGTTAGACTGGGGTTTCGAAGGGGTACGACGAATGAACTGAAACTGTCAAAAGTGCACATTCCGCTCTTGACATTTTACCAAAGCGCAGCTTGAACCCTGCTCCTCAGGGGTGTGGGGCTTTTTGGGGGGTAATATGGCTACATAGCTGGAGGGGGAAAGGGGGAAAAGTGGGAAAGTGTCGTGCCAGCGATTGGCATTGAAAGCGCAAATGAAAGGGAAGTCCTCTTTTTGAATGGCAGTGGCAGCTTGCGATGGAATCCCAGACATATCCCAATCCCAGAGGGTGGAACCAGCCAGCGCTGGAAAATACTGTCGGCACGCGTTCGTCCGCCCCCCCAGGGGTCGTACCACCCCTCCCCACTGGAACGCCCCTGACAAGCAGTTAAAAAAGGCTAAACGAGAACGAGGCATAAACCCAGAAATTTGCTCTCTGTACGTTTATTGCTTTTAAATTTGCCAATTGTCGAATCTGGCGATGGTAAGTGCATGTGAGTGCACTGGAAAAAATTCAAAGTAATAAAGCTGCAAAATATACAGAGGATACAAACGGTTTGATAATGAAAGTTCTTACTTACATTCTTTTTGTCAACAATTGTACTTACCTTTTACTTAAGGCTTATTAACTTTAAATTCATTAATATCATAAATACATAGAATTAAAAAACACTTGACTATCTAGGTGGACTTATAGAAGGTTTGAGAGTTACATGAGTGGGAGGAAGAAAGACACCTTTGAAACTAGAACTGGCCATCTTAGAATTTCGAGGATATCGAAATGATACTACATAATATCAAATTGGCCATCGTTACATATCAAGTATTTTTTGGGTGAAAGCATTCCAATAATTAAAATAGATAGAAATTCGATTTTAAATTTCTAAAATTAAAAGTTGTTTTCTTTTCAGTGTGCCTGTCTTCCATGTTTGTTTGAGCCAGTCTGTGCGAGTCTACAACAAATTGCTTATCAAGCGAACGCATGTAACAGTCAAACTGAAAAGGGGCCTTGCGAAAGCAGCAAAAGCCGCCCTTAATTTGGCCAATTTAAAAATGGAAATCGATTCCCCCGAGAACTGGCGATGTGTCAATAAAATGTGATTAACAAGTTGCTGCACAAAATGCCAGCACAGACTGCAATCGGATAATGGCAATGGCAATGGGAACATAATGGTCCCCCGACATTCCCTCAGGCATTTGTCGCTGCTTTGTCTCCCTAGTTGTCATTGTGGGGTTTTTTATTTTTTTTCCTGTTTTTGAATATAGTGGGGGAAACGTCCTGGGGGAGCGTGGCGAATTATCCCTTTCATAAGTGACAAATACGTCCACCCTTATCAGCCACGGCTGCTGCAAGTAATGAGATTTTATTCCGAAGCAACTGACTTCGAGCCGTTGTAATTCGCAATAAATATGCAGCAAAGTCCGGACCAGCAACTCGATCTCTGTGTCGGGCGATAAGGATGCCAACCCCAGGTCTTCCTTTGAAATAGTAACTCTATGAATGCATTCCTTTGGAGATTAATCGACGCTACGGACGCCACGCCACAAGCATGATGGGAATTATCTCCGGACTTAATTAAAGTTGAGCAAAGTTTCAGTTCAAACAATATTAATTACAGCTTAGGTAAGGTTTAAACTCTGCTTTGTAAACGTATCTTATTCCAAAGTTGTGTGCATTATTTGTATTGAAGGCTTGATTTGTAATTTAACTAAACAGAATGCTGTTAGTATAACAAGTTCAAGTTCCAACTACTTAGCAGTGACTTATTTATATGGACGTTGAAGTTATTTACGCGCGGGCCCTTTATCAATTTACAGATAGGATTTTGCATAAAAATTGTAACAAGCATTATTCTACGATTTACAAGTATAGGTAAAACGTTTTGATCCCAGTTCAAACCACGGAGGGCAAAAGCAAGAATTTATTTTGCACAGACTTAATAATAATGTGTACACATTTTGCGTTATTAAGATTGTCAAGCAAAGACAACAGTTTGGGAATAAAAAAAGCTTTAATGATGAATTTTATTCTAAACCTTAATTAATGTTTGGAAATATAAGGAGTTTATGGTTAATTAAATTGTAATCCCTTGATTAAATTCATTTTAATCACGAAATTATCACTGGTAATTGTGACTAAAGAAAAATATTAGAGAGAACTAAAGTTTATCAATAATATGTTTTATTATCTAAAAAAACCGAATCCGAATCCCATTTTGATTGACTATATTTCTAATGGAAAACTTCGAATTAAGACCAAGTGTTTCCAGTTAAGAACCGGTATCTTTTAGTTGAAATCAGCAGCTGAGATTTGTTCCGATCACCAATTTTTTATTCTGGAGGGCTTAGCGAGACTTTAGTGATAAGCGAACCGAATCTTTTCCAGGAAGGCTGGCCCGAAATGGTCGGAACAGCCTTGTTTTGCACAACTGTTGGCGTGAGTCAGGTAATCTTATCGCCGCCTCTTGATTGCCGGGGGGATTCTTATACTTTGATTTCGTTTTGCACTATTTGGCTTTTTCTGCGAGACTCTCGCCCGCATGCCCACTTCATGGGGACCGATAAGCCCCCGACCTGTAACCAAAGTTAATTAAAAGCGAAGCGCTTTTGTAAACATTGTCTTACTCATCGCGAGCGAGGCGCTATAAAGGCAGAGCGTTTTGAACAGCTAACACCAAACATTCGAAGAACGTGGAACGAACCAAACCAACATGCGTATTCTGCTCGTCCTCTCAGTTGTCCTGGCCGTGATCCTCGGCTGCCACGCCTACAGTGCCACCTGGGGGCGCAGGAATAGCAATGATTACCTCCTCTCGCGCACCGTCACGGTCCGCAATCCGGTGAAGAACAACTTGTGGAACGTGAACGTCCAATATCCGAGTGGATTCTACAACATCTCGGTGGTGTATGTCTATGACAACTTCAAGAACAACTCTGGAGCAAATCCCAGCCTCTACTCCGGCGGTCCGGGCTACAAGTTCTGCACCGTAAACCTGAAGGGCCAGGTCAGCCGCGGCATCAACTCCACCGTCGAGATCTGGGGTCGTTAAGTGATTGTACGAACATAAGTTAAACGAATAAAAAACGCTGGAAATTCTACTAAAATGTAAAATAGTTTCTTCTTATTACCAACAAAGCGGTTCGGTGGCGAAATGTGTTGTCAAAAAAAGGAAAAACAACTATACTTATCCTGTTACACACAAAAAAATTAGACGCGTGGAATTAACACATTCTAATACGTAAGCATAATAAATGGTTTATTACTGTTACTATTTAATAGCAAAGCAACTCTAAAATAGTAAGTAGTGTGTATTTTGTTGTTCTGAGAGGAGCTATTAGTTCCGTAATTATACCAATCGTTTTTTTTTTTTGCGTGTAGCTGAGAATTTAAAAAAAGAGCTATTAAGGGATTATAACCTTGATATGTCGAACAAGTTAGTAAACAAGTTGTGATTTTTTTTTAATAAACCATCATATATTGCTTTTAATGATTCAGTGCGGCAAAGTGAAAATCCCAAAAAGAGTATCATAACCGAATGTAATATTTCTGGATATCTTTATCATTGTGCCCTGTCAATAGGAATAGCATATTGATATATCTATGTATATCTGCCGGACTTTGCATAATCGTGCATTAGCCACGGGCCAATCCCCAAAAACTGCCCGACAAGTTTAGAATTTTCCCTCGGCTGTTGGGGCTTTTCTTCCTTGTTACCTGCGGGCACAAAGGATGAAAGTCGCCCGCCTCGAGGAAAGGGGAAACTTTTCCTTTTTGCCAGCCAGCGGCGTAGTCATCTAGCAAAGGAAAACATTCAATATTTAATAAATATCAGTGAGTGTGTGTGATGGAGAGGTGGGCGAAAGTAACTCGAAATTAGGGCTGGGGCTAGGACTATTGCCCACAAATCCTGTGAAGCCCAGACAGACTGTTAAAAGAGCCAGAGGGCTGAACCAAAAAAAAAAAAGAAAAAATGTGAGACAGAAAAGAAAGCAGGAAAACGGGAATCCACCGAAGGGGAGACAGGCTTATTGGCCTTGGCTCATTTGATTCCCGGGGTATGGTGTAAAATTTGTATTTCAAATTGCCAAAAGCAGACCCAAAAACCGAGCGAGGGGATTGATATGTTAAGCTGCACGGTCAAAAGGATGTGTCGAAGTCCCTTTTTTTCCATTTTCCTATTTCCCTAGTTTATGTATCGAATTTAAATTTCAATTTTAAACGTCTTGAGGCAACGGATGCGGATGCGGATTCGGCTGGCATCCCAATCCCAGTCCCAATCCCAGCTATCCGGTGCCGTGGCGGTAAATATTTGCACAGGGCGCTCAAATGTTTGAAAAGTTGTCAACGAAAATGTTTCACTTAGTTAATATGCAAAGCGCGGCCGTTTCGGCTGCGATGCAAAGCCCCGGATCCGGATATGTTTACGGATACGGCCACGGATACAGCCGGAGGTTGTGAAGCCCCCTTTGGCCCCCCTTTACCAAAGGGAAAGTCAGTCGTTCGATAAAAAATTGCCCCCGAAAAAGTCACGTAACTGCAACGAAAACGGGAACGAGAGGATCGGCTGCATCCGAATTCGATTTGTCCTGCTGTTCCACAGCCCCCTTTCTGTCCTCTGGCCTCTAACTTTAAGAACTGGCCAAATGCGACTGCCGAATTTCGCTTCCGGCCGCATTCACTTGACATTCCTCATACGCCGCGTGGCCGCCACAACGAAATGCCTAACGTAAGCCGCTTGCCCAGCTAAGCTGACCACTACAGCAGTGTCCCCGGGTAACCAGACTGCCACACACAGGACTCGGTATCCAGGACTCCCTCTCGGATTCACTCCCCCCTTTGTCAGAGGCAACAGCTTGCCGAGCAATTACTTCGGACTGCCCGGAAATGTCGCCCCAAAACCAGCAGCGACAGCAGTGGCAGCTGCTTGGAGCAGGTCCTGCGGAAAACACCACCCCCTCACACCTTTACACACACCCACATTTCTGCTTGGGGGTGTGGCATATGTCTGGCGTTGCAAGGACAACCGCCGGCATCTGCCTACACTGGCCTCTGTGGCTCGGCAACATCGAAAATACCCGCCTCAAATGGGATTTCAATTAGCGGCAACTGGCTCACCCCATTTTGTGATTTTGTGTTGGCCAGTGTTGCGGCTCGCCCTGCAGCGTTTACAGGATTCTGTACCGGAGTGCACCGATAAAAATGCAATCGAAGTGCATTTCTATTAATTATTTTTAAGGAAAATGGGGTAAAAAATGTAAAAATCTTAACAGCTCAGTGCTAACATAAATTATATTGGGGAAAAAGGGGGAAAATGTGCGGGCATGCTAATTGGTTTTTAATTAAGTTCATGCTACTTAAGCGTTACTCGAAAAACTGTATTTTATATTCAGTTAGTCACTATAAAGATAACTAGTATTTACCAACTTTTTCCCTGGGATCTCGAAACATATTTCAGTAAGTTGGCTGAAATTATTAAATATAATCTTTCCTAGAATTTAAATCTTTTTTTAAGTACTTAAGAGATTTTAGTATATCTGTCATTTCTAAGAGATTAAAAGTAACTTAATACCAAAAAACTATTATACTTTCATTAAAAAGTCGTTTAATATAAATCCTCAACGATTTTAATTAATAAAATTTTTGGAAAATACCAGGGAACGTAACTTTATAAGTTTTATTTTAAAAACCACACTTTAACAGTTATTTCCCTGATTTGTAAAGAAAATCTCAAAGAATAACTGTTATTTTTTGAGTTTTACAGTAAAAGTTGGCAAATAACAATTATTCGTCGTGATCAAAAATAAAACTCAAACTCTGATTTATGGCGATTTTGTGGGTAAATCAAAATTTTAAAAAATATAGATATAAAGTATGCGCTTGCTTTTTTAAGAGATTTTTAGTAAGTTATAAAAAGCACGGGTGTCATGTTTTTTTTAATGATTGATTTTTTCAAAAATGTAAGGGAATAACTGTTATTCATAAAAATCAAAAATAACGTTATTATTTGAGATTTAAAATCATAAAAATCAAAAAAAAAAAATCATTACGGTTTGTAATACTACAATGGCTAATAAAAATTGCGATTTTTAAAATTTTTAGTTTATTTTTTTAAAATTTCAATAACAGTTATTTTGTTCCCTGGAAAATACCATTTTTTTCGGGTTTTCGCATTATTTTAAAGTTTCTTATTACTGACAATTATTTGTTTCAGTGCTTACGAAATCATAAAAGGCGGTATCCTAGGGACATGACATAGAAGGGTGTCGGACATGCTGTTAAGGCTGCTGAAATTGCTGATTTGCTGTGCTGGCGTTGTCGCCGTCCCTTGCGTTTACGTTCGTCGTTGGCCAGCAGCATTGATTTTTAATAAATGGCAATTTGGCAAACCAATCTGAGTTGTGATTATTTTAGCTGGCAGGTGGAAAAAGCATTTCAAATGTGCAGCAAGGCCAAAGGCAGCGGCTAATGTGCATCCCACACACAACCACCGCCCACACGGCCCTTCGAAAGAGCTAATGAAGTATTTATGGGCGGCCTGATTGCATGTGGTGCTGGTGGGAAAGCAGGGCTTTCCGGGCAGGTGAGGTGTCGCCTTGCCACCGGGATTTACGATTTGACAGGCGCTGCTGGGGATTTGTGGCATAACAAATTTTGAGCGGCTAAATTGTAAAATACCACGACATGCAGAGCCAACTGGAGCAGCCGCCAATCAATATTGATGATGGTCAAATCGAAAGGCAGCAAAGCTTTCGCATATCCAATATGTGTTTCCATCTTTTAGGTTACAAAATGGGAATCCAGTACAAGGAGAAGGTTTCGGAGCAATGAACGGGGATAAAAGTTGGATACTTTACAGCGGTAAACAGAATCAAAATTTGATCTTGAGTTTAAAATCATCGATGTCAATAGATCTGTGGAAATATTATTTCTGATGGCAAAAGCCATTCCTAATAGAGCCCTGCATGAATCATTCAATTTTTGTTTTATCATAGTACGCCATGAAATTTCTGATTTGTTTAATTCAATTCTATGTGAAATAAATTGAATGTTGTTCTAATTCATTTCGAATTGAATGAATCGAATGAATTATTTTATGAATTTTTAGATTTTTTCAGTTTTTTTTGTGTTTTCTTTTGAGAACAAAAAGTGGAAAATTTTTAACAAATCAATGTTAACTGCATAGTAAATAAAATTCAGCCAGATTTAATCACAAAATAATCGCCCTTTCTTCCTCAAAATAAATTGTCGTTTGAATTATTTCGGAATTCATGCCATTCATTCATTCAATTCTATTAAAGTCAAAATTCAAATTCATTCAATTCTATTAAACACAAAATTCCAATTAATTCATTCATATAACAGAAAAAAATTCAAAATAATTCATTGAATCCATTCATGCAGGGCTCTAATTCCTATTCTATTTTATTCTATTCCATTCATTTTAGACATGCTTAAGTTATAAATATTTTGTTAATAGATTATATTTATGAACAACAGAATTTTTGAAGAAAGACAAATTTGTGGCATCAATATTTTCTTCGAAAACCTTTGGCCAGCCAAATTTTTTTTTTAATTTTTGAACTGAAAAATGAAAAAAGTAGTTTGTTTTTTTTTATTAATTCATAACTCAAACCTTCATCAGCCTAGTAAAATAGTTATATATATAGTTATTTTTATGAGAAATAGAAACAATTGTAGTGATAAATTACACAGGAACACAAAATTAAATCTTGTGAAATTTCCACGAACCATTTCAAGTTTTCCATGATATTTGGGTGCTCCTGAGTAAAAGTCCCATACAAAATTATTTTCCATCACCTATAGGTTAGTCCAATTATATAGGCGACGTAATTCAAAGTGTCGGCAAACATCGGTTTTTTGTATTCTTAGCTATACCGCGGAACCTGTAGGTGATGGGACATAAGTTTGTATGGGACTTTTACTCAGGAGCACCCAATTATCATGGAAAACTAGAAACTGTTCGTGGAAATTTTTGGCTCTGTACCTGTGTTATAAATAAATAAAAATAAATCGCATTTTAATTATTATTTTCCTTTTCAATAAGTTAAGGAATGTCAATACCAATCAAATTTTTGAAATTGGC